TTAAATTTTTTAAATAATTAAATGAACAAACTGCTAATATATTGAAAACTATTATATGAGCGAAAAAGTTATACGACGGCATTCTCAAATTAGTGAAAATGGTCTAAATGGCTATATAATGCTAAGTACAGAGGACGTTAAAATAAATGAACAATCCACAACCAAACCTTTACATAAAGAAATTACTGAAGGAAATATATCAAAAATAGCTAGTGAAATTGCCATAGCTAATAAAATAAAATTAATTAATAATCCAATGAGCTTCTCATCAAAAAACGCAAACAACACCAATTCCAGCCAAAAAAAAAATGTGGAAATACACTGGTGACGAAGAAAGCGACACTCAATCGGTAAGTAGCGTCAAAAGCACGCCAATAAACACTTCCATTTATACAAAAAGATTTGGTGAAACAACGCAACCAGAATGGCAACGGGTAAACTCGTCAAAAAGAAGTCGTTCAAGTCCCCAAGGAGTTCGACAAAGTTCAAATTTCAAACAAAAGAAGCTGGATACCTATTGGTTGTCAACTGAACCCAAAAAAAACTCTAACCGATATTCCGTGCTAGATGAAGACTCTCATTCATCAGAAAAGTCCATTGAGCAAAATGAAAAAATTACAATCTCGAAGCCTCCCCCAATATTTGTTGCAGGAGTCGGTAATATACAACCATTAAGGCAGCTTCTGAACGAAATAGCCCCTAATGAATATAACTTTAAAATACTTGCCAACAATGAGGTTAAAATACAGCCTAGTAGCCCAGAAAAATACTCTGCAATCACTAAGGCTCTTGAAGCCAAAAAAACTGAGTTCCATACCTATAAACTCAAACAAGACAGAAGTTTTAACGTAGTATTGAGAGGCATGCATCCTTCTATGCCAGTCGGTGAAATCGAAGAGGCGATAAATAGCTTAGGCTTTAAGGTGGCCAATATAAGTAATATACGTCAACGAACAACCAAAAATCCACTTCCGTTATTTTTTATTGGTTTGAAACCATCAGATACAAACAAGAATATTTTCAATTGTAACAGCCTAATGCATACAAAAATCACTTTTGAAGCTCCAAGAAAAAAACGCGAAATTCCCCAATGCTCTCGTTGTCAGCGTTATGGTCATACAAAGCATTACTGTAAACGAACGCCCCGTTGTGTAAAATGCCCTGGTAATCACTTGACATCAGAGTGTACTCGTAATGTAGTCGACAATGAAGTAAAATGTGTATTATGCAACGGAAATCACCCCGCTAATTACAAGGGCTGTGAAGTATACAGGCAGCTTCAACAAAAAGCGTTTCCACCGCTCCGAAGAAAAGAAACCCCTAGTCCACCAACGCGCACAGAGTTCGTTCAAGCTGGTCGAACATACTCTAATGTCGTAAGCAACGGCCAAACCATCACTAGTGAACCACAAACAAGATCTGAAAACAACGATATGTCAGAGCTGAAAGTAATGCTTAAAACACTAATGCAACAAATGAGTACTATGCTAAATATTTTAACAGCGTTCGTCGCTAATACATCAAAATAATGAGTGCGTTTAAAATTGCTTTCTGGAATGCTAATGGGCTAGCTCAACATAGCAGCGAACTACAGACTTTCCTCACTGACAAAAATATTGATATTATGTTAATATCAGAAACCCACTTCAACCAAAGAAGCCATCTCAGATTTCCGAAGTATTCTATATACGATGCCAACCACCCATCTGGAAATGCTGGCGGAGGAGCTGCGATAATCGTGAAAAGCGATATTGATCACTCTGTGCACAACAAATACGAAAAACCATTTCTTCAGTCAATATCATTAACAGTTAAAAACAATAAAGGTCCAATATGTATAGCCTCTATCTATTGCCCACCAAACCAAAAAATTAAAAGTCATCAGTTTGAGGAATTTTTCCACACGCTTGGTCAAACATTTATAGCTGCTGGGGACTTCAATGCAAAGCATACTCACTGGGGCTCCAGACTAATCACACGTAGAGGCCGCGAATTGTTTAAGACTATGCAGGCCAACGATTTGCTTCACGCATCAACTGGTGAACCAACTTACTGGCCAACAGACCACAATAAAGTTCCAGACGTGATCGATTTTTGCATATTTAAAGGCATTTCAAGCTCACTATTATCGATTCATTCCAGTTTAGATCTTTCCTCAGACCACTCTCCCCTTATTATGGAGTTGAACTCTAAAATTTTTGTAAAGAACAAAGAGCCTCGATTATACAACAAAAGAACAGACTGGAGTATTTTCAGAAGCATCATAAATGAAAATTTAACAACCAACATCCCACTCAAAACCGGTACCGATATCGAATCTGCGGTCGAGCAATTTAATACAACCGTACAGAATGCCGCGTGGAACTCAACTATGCATTTTAATGAATACAAAGAAGAACACATAGACAGAGGCATAACAGCTACTTCAGAAACGTAAATTGCGACGAATTTGGCAAATAACAAAAAATCGTGAAGACAAAAGACGTTTGAATGAAGCGATAAAAAAACTTAAAGAAACCCTAAGGGAGAACAAAAACAAAAACATTGAAACATACCTATCTGCATTGTCTCCCAGTGAAGCAACCGACTATTCATTATGGCGGGCCACTCGTAAGCTGAATGGATCAACGCCACACATTCCACCACTCAAAATGTATAATGGACAGTGGGCTAGATCCAGAATCGACCAGGCTCAAATTTTCGCAGAGCATCTTCAAGGTGTATTTCAACCATACCCGTGCATAAGTTATGAAGACGACACTGAAATTGAGTCTTTCCTGCAAACACCACATCAAATGGACTTCCCGGTTCCTAAAACCACAATACAAGAAATTAAATGGACAATTAAGACTAAAATTAAAACCAAAAAGGCTCCTGGGTACGATTTGGTTACTGGCAAAGTGTTGAAAGAGCTTCCAAACATTGGTCTTGTTTTCATCAACCAACTTTTTAATGCTATTATATGTCAAGAATACTATCCAAGTCAATGGAAAGTAGCTCAAATTATCCTGATACCAAAACCAGGTAAACCTTTAGAGTTAGTTACATCTTATCGACCTATAAGCTTACTTCCGGTGCTCTCCAAAGTCTTCGAAAAAATACTCTTAAAGCGTCTTAACCAGATCACCCAAAGTCGCTTACTAATTCCTGCTCACCAATTCGGGTTTCGAAACCGCCACTCAACCATTGAACAGGTAAATCGTGTTTATCAATATGCAAGAGATGGACTGGAAAGAAAAGAATACTGCACTGCAGCATTTATCGATATAACGCAAGCATTTGACAAGGTATGGCACACCGGACTGCTCTACAAATTGAAATTACATCTACCACACAGCTTCTATTTGTTACTTAAGTCTTATATCAATAACCGATATTTCATGGTTAAAATAGAAGACTATAATACGAAAATCTTCCCGATAAAAGCTGGAGTTCCACAAGGGAGTGTACTAGGTCCAACCCTCTACACACTGTTCACAGCTGACTTACCACTTGACCCATCAACATATACCGCAACTTTTGCCGATGACACAGTGATCATGGCTAAAAGCAAAAACCCAACAGTCGCTACTAGTCAGTTGCAAACAAACCTAGATAGCATCCAAGTGTGGCTAAACAAATGGCGCATTAAAGCTAATGAATCCAAATCTGCACAAATCACATTCACTCTTCGCAATGGTTACTGTCCACCAGTCACACTAAATAATAACGTACTACCACAATCCGATCACGTGAAGTATCTAGGTGTTCATCTTGATCGGCGTCTCACCTGGAAACATCATATATTTACGAAACGCAAGCAACTGGGTTTAAAAATGCGCTCCATGCACTGGCTTCTTTGCCAAAATTCAAAACTATCACTGAACAATAAAGTACTTTTATATAAAGTTATTTTAAAACCAATATGGACCTACGGTGTCTCGATCTGGGGAACAGCTGCAAAATCTAATATAGCGATATTGCAAAGATTTGAATCAAAAATACTTCGTTTATGTGCGGCTGCTCCATGGTATATTCCAAATAGCACTTTACAGCGCGATCTCCAAGTCCCATCAGTGTTTGAAACAATACAAACAGTCAGCAAAAACTATCGTATAAGACTATCAAATCACCCGAACCCACTGGCACACGAGCTACTATCAGATATCAATCATCCACGTCGACTAAGAAGATTTTCTACGTCGGACTTGCCAAGTAGAACCCTAAACACGTGAATCGTAATTGTAAACTCACTGAAATTTAATATTTATATAGCCAACTATTTACTCATTATTATTAGTCATCATTATTATTAGTTGTAATTTAATCTTTAGCGGTGTTTACTACTGAGTGTCCCGCACATGTCTACAAATCACTTTTTCTATTTTTATGTTCATAAATAATACTGAATGTTCTTTTACAGATTGTATTTATATAATAATAATAATAAAAAAAAAAAAAAAAAATTTAAATTCCGAAAATGATTTGTAATCCTCGTGCAAACTAAATTTTTGGCTACGAGCCTGACTAATACGTTCAAATATTAGTCAAGCCATTTCTTTGAATAATATTCAAGTTGCACTTTTATTATCAAGTTTTTTATAGATAAAAAAAAACACATCTATTCTGAAATTGTGTTCCTTCCGAGCTTTTGATATAGCAACATTCAACGTTTGTGTACCTCTGATTAAATGATTAGGGTGCGTTTATCTTAATAATATAAATAAAAATGTTTAGAATTGGATTAATTAGAAATATAATATTAATGATTAATAAAATACTTAACGAAGTTAGTTATTATTTAATTTAAATGTTCAATTTACAATGGACTGAAGAGACAAAATCAATTATAATTATATAAATATTTATATTCATTAATGACGATCATTTATTGAACATTTCTTTTGCAACAAAATAAATGTTTTGTAATTTATTACTTTAGATATAAAATTTGGTTACAACTTGTAAACGGAAATTTATTTATTTAGAATTGAAAAAAAAATTTTTCAATTCTGACCTCTTTACTTGTCTGTAGAATCTGTAGAGCCGTTTTGATTCTTGCCAAATAAAAGCTTAACCGAATTATCACCTAAGAAAATATTCCAGAACTCCAGATCGCCATCGCTAACATTTTCATTGGCAATAAATAATTTAATTGTGGTTTTAAGTTCATCTCTAATATCTTTTAATATCGTAGCATCTTCTGCGGTAAAGGACTCTGTATAAGTTGTATTTGTAGATATATTCACATTTCGTGATGGAAATACATCTATACTTTCAGTTTCTCCATGCCATTCATTGGAACATTTTGTATCATTTTGCACTTGACTTAGAAAATGCGCAAATTTAGGATGGCACTGTGACAAATAGCAATTGCGTACAAATCGACGAAGTATATGTTTGTAAAAATTGCGCTTTTTTCTCATATAACGATATTGTTCAAAATCATAAATGTCTTCATTCAATGCAATGGACAAGTCTTTGTTTTCTGTTTTTTCTGACTTCTGAAGTCCACTATCAATTGGTCTAAGTGACGAGTGAGTTTGATGCCCTCCTTTCCTTATATAATTACGTATCTCTTTATCTGATTTAATACAATCAATTACTTCTGTTCTAAATTGTTCTCGTGACATTGCATCCTTCAATGGAGAAAATTCTTTTAATACAGCCTCATATAAACAATTATTTTTTGATTCACTATTATCGTTTTCGGAAGTATTGGTTTTACATATATTAAAATAATTATCTTTCAGTTTAAGCGAAATTGTTATGCATTCTTGTTCCTCTGACAAAGAAAAGAATTCCTGTTTTATTCCATTATTCTCTTCAATAACAATTTTTATATCTTTTTTATATCCATTGTTTTTTAGCAACCGTTTTATTATTTGAGTACTCGCACCTATACATGCGATATCCATTGGTATACCTTCTTCGATCATATCTGCATACAATTCAGGGTTCTTAGTTTTGGTTAAGAGTTTTATCAAATCCTTATGATATTTTTCTGTAATTTGTTCTTCAATTTCTTTTGCTTCATCAGCTTTTTGAAGCAGATTTTTCATACAAATCTGCTTCAATTGTTCAAAATTTTCAGAATAACCTTGCTCTGTGTAGTATGTGTGCACTCGTTGTATATTTTTTCTCACATGTTTTATTAGGTGATTAACTCCCTTCTTTGAAATAGGGCTGACGATATGTTTTTCGATAATTTGACTAACATTTTCGCGAAGCATAGATTTCCATTGGTTCACAACTTCTCTTTCAAAGCATTTAAAATTTTCGTTTGTTTCCAGTTTCTGATTAAGAAGTTCCAATTCTTCTTCTTTTATTTGTTTATTTAGTTTGTCTATTATTTTCTGATTTAAGTTGATTAATAGATTTTTAGTTATCGTTCTAATATTGGTTATATGTGATGATTTTTTTAACTTGTACATTATTTTTTCCACTGCTGATTTGGAAAATTTAGGCATGATGTGTATTTTATTAGTTTCAACAACTGATTTCCCTACGTCGTGGGCTACACTTTCCGCTATATTACAGGTAATAGATATAAATTGTTCCAAGTTACCTTGACTATTAAAAAAACTGTTCGTCAGCCCATTTATAACGTTTAGTGCTTTATGTTGTCCCAATAAATTATAGAGTTTTTCTAGATTTTCGGAAATATTACAGAGCTCAATCTCGATCTCTTGTTCTATAGTAGATAAAATCATAGTGTCCATTTCTTCACATAATTTTCGAAGACAATTTTCCATAAATAAAACAATTCCTACATTGGCAAAGGAATGACATACTATTTCTATAGTTTTCGCTGCAGTGAGTCTAGTTACTTTCTTTTCTGCTAAATTGAGAGCCGTAGTTTTAATTAATGCTTCCTCAGACATGTTCGTTATTTTCATATTAAAACCCAGGTTTGACTTAATAATTTTATAAGCAAATTTTGCTACGTTAGCACCTTTTTTAAGAGTTTTTAAACCAAAAGCACAGACGGAAGAAAATAAATTCATAAGCTTGCACTGTGTATAAAATTTCCACTCAAAAAACCGTGGTAGTAAAGCATATATTCCATTTGTTAAATCATTTAAGCCTTCCTTAATTAATGCATTTCCAAATGCATTTCCAGTGTTTTGATACTTTGTTATTATATGCATCAAATAACCTGCAGCTACTTTACATATTCCAGTTCCAATAGGAATGATACAGTCCCAAATCATATTTCGAGTATATTTCTTATCTTTTATTTGTAAGATTTGATCTAATGCATTGAGGGAAAAGTGGTGCATTTCTTCTATGCTCTTGAGTTCACTTAAGCTTGAAAGTGATTGTAACTTATATTCAGGAACTATGATTGATTGCAACGAACTCCTTAATATTTTTAAAGTGTTGGCAATAAATTGTATTGTTTCAATTTTCGCTAAGTGCAGCTCATTATCAAGAATCTTTTCTACAGTTTTATCAATTTCTTGGATTTTGTAAGTTGTTTCAGCATTAAAGTTCAATGGTTTTTGTCTCATATAATCATTGTTAATGTAATAACCTATCGGTGTCAAGCGTAACCACTTTTTTTTAATCAAGTGGTTTAAAAGAAGTTCTTTACACTCATCTGGAATAAGTTTATCTTGAGATATCAGAAGCATGAAATCATCTTTATTCATTTCTCGTTTATAGATTTGCTTTAACTTTTCTTCTAAATCTTTATTATGAGTAATCACTGTATTGCATTTGATTAATTTGTTTTCTATTAAATCGAAAAATAAATCCAAATGCGGTTTTGACATTATTTGTAAACACATAGGAGCATTTTTCTGACTCTGTTCTTCAAGTTTCTGAAAATCGATTCTATAACTAAAACATAGAGATAATAATGTTTTCACGTCATTTTCATAAACTGGGCAGTATCGCAGCTTAATTTGTTCGATTTCGTAAAATTTGATTTTTAATCTATAAATATTGTTTCCTATATCTTCAATAACACTTTGTTCGCAAAGTTCTGTTAATATATTTACTGCCTCATTATTATTAATATTTATTTTATTAAAATCTTCTGGAGTAATCGAATCGTAACAGGGAAAAGTTATCGACTTTGTATTGACTATATTTAAAAGAGATTTTCTGTTAAATGAAAATATTCTCTTTTTCTTAAGTGATTTATATTTTTCCTTTCCTACATATTTAACAAATTCGTCTTTTTTAAAAGTAATAAACCTTTGCGTTCTAGGAATAACAGACGTATTGAAAAGAATATACCCATTATTGTCGTCCAAAGATTTCTGCTCGAACTCATTTTGAGAGCGCAAAGAATCTAGTAATGAAGGATCAATTTCATTCAATTTTTCAATGTCTACAATAATGAATTGTACGTCATCAATTAAGACGTTTTTTTCCATGAGAAGTTTCCAAAATTCTTCTTTGTTAGGTAATTTGATTTCTTTTTTCAAGTCTTTAAGAAATGCACTTTCATTGATATCTACATATTTGGAAAGAAATGATTTCAACATATCTGTAGATATTCCATAATTAAAACAAATTGTGTCTATATCATCTTCGGAAATATTGTGTTTTACTTTCATTTTACTTAGAATCTTGTTTTTAATGAGATCTTTATATATTTTTTCAGACAGTTCTTCATTGATATCATAATTAGAGAAAGATTGTGGTGTTATATTGTGACCAAATATATCATCTATAGATTGTAAAAACATATGGTAAAGTTTAAGTGTGATCTCTTGTTGTTCCCTAAAGGCATTTATTCGTATAATACTATTATTGTTTTCCTTAATCTCATTTATGATACCAGACGTAATCATAACAAACCTGATATGTTCATCTATGAGTTTAGCAGCTATTTGTAACTCCATCTCAAATTGTTTTGAACTCGCCCTATTACATTTCGTTAACGCAAATGCTTTGTAGTAATGAGCAGCTTCGCTAAAATATGGTTCCATTCTAATTACATCGTCAAATAAACGAATAGCATCTTTAATTGAATTTTTGTGCTCATTATTTTGCGAGAAATATTTTCCAAGTTTGATCATTTGAACCGGATTTCCATCGACCCAATTTAACCAATTTTCGTTATAGTTTCTACGATGAACGGAGGAATTTCTGCTACACTCAGAGTTGAAATTTTTCAATTTTGTAATGAAATCATCAAAACGTTTATAAAAATTATGTTTTTGTTGCTCATCTGATATCATTTTTATATGATGACAATTTTTATCTAACCAAAAAGTCCACTGATCTAAACAGCTTCGTAGGAGAATTTCTTTAATTTCAGAACGCACGTTTTGAACACTAAGAATTTTTTTCAGTTCCTCGAATTGTTTTTTAAACTCATTAAAACACCTTTCTTCCTCATAAATTTGAAAGTCGTAGTATGTTTTTATATTTGATATACGATATACTTCGTTTATATCACGTTCCTTCTTCAGATCTAATACTTTTGCAATACTTTTTTCCGTTCCGTATGAATCTAGAATAATAAGCTGACCGGAACCTCTATCTCCACATCGTGCTGCTCGGCCGAACGCTTGTTGTTCAACTCGAATATTTCTTGGTAAATATGTTAGACAAATGTGCAATCCTCCTGCCTCCCTTAACTTTTTAGTAATTTTTATATCAGTACCCCGACCAGATAAATTAGTTGCAATAATAATCTGTCCCTGATCTAGTTCCTTCTTGCCTTGAGCTACATCGAACTCTTCGTAATCACGAACATATTTGTGAACACCTCTTGCAGTTCTTCCTCCGAATGCTTTGTATAAAACTTCCACATTATGTACAGTCTCACAGATGATTAAAACAGATCGATAATTTTCTTCTATGATTTTATTTACTTCTTGTTGTATATAAGTTATCCATTCCTTCTTGTTAATACAGAGAATAGGTTTATACTCTTGAAATTGTTTTGGTTCAGCTGTTGGAATAGTCACAAAGTCAACTTTATGTATTTCTTTTAATAAGTCTCTTTCTCTTTGTGATCCTAATGATCCCGTTAGTCCATATAAAGTGCGGTATAATTTAAAAAATGAAATATTAGAGATGAAAACAGCTTTTAAACTTTGTGAAGTTATTTTGCATCCATGTTTAAGTTGTAAAAACTGGTGTAGTCCCTCATCCCATTGGGAGTTCACTTCATCTGTTCCAGTATCTGTATCAATAATTGTAATAATTGGGTTACGATCTGCATAAGTTCCAGATCTGTCTATATCCACTACATAATCTCGTTCTGCTTTCATAAAGAA